CAAGCCTATTTTTCCCTATTGGTTACTAATCCCAAGCTTGGCTTGGGGGAGCTATTAGTTAGTGAGGTGAGGGAGTTGTAGTGTGCGCATAATTTGCACAATGTGGGTGAATAAGAGGAGTAGTTTGTTCTTTTGATATTGTGATTGGAAAAGATGAGAAATTTGTTGTTCAAAGTTGAAAATTTCCAATGTGAGATAAAAAGAAAAATAAAGAGCAAAAGAAAAAAGTTGTTTCAATGTTCAAGTATTCTAATTAAAGGCGCTCAAGAAAAAGAAAGAAAAATATTCAAAAGAAAAAAATCAAATTCAAAAAGAAAAAAAGAGAGTTCAAAGTTTGTTTGTTCACTCAAGTTCTATTATGTTATATTTTGTATATATGAGTGAAGTTGTAAGTATTGAAAAATGTTGTTAATATTGGATTGGTTGTTTTGGTGAATTTTTGTAGAGTTGAGTTGTGTTGGAGATGAATTGGTCATTATTTATTTTTGAGCTTGGTTTTATTTGTTAGGATTTTGGCTTCCTTAAGCATGGCTTTGCTCTCACATTTTCCCAAATAATTCCTACCCTTTACCTAAGCCTTACATTACAAGCTTTGAAGACCTTCCGACCTTTGTGCATAGAGTTCTATGGATGTGAAATTAGTTGTTTATCAATGCAAAGAATGATTTGATGTATTCCGAGTCAACTACTAGCTTGAGTGAATGTCTTTTAAACACACGAGTGTTGTGAGTTGGGAGGACGTTGTTCACATATAAGGGGTTAGGATGGAGAGCGATCGAGTACATCTTTTACTCGCCACATAAATGAGAGTTGAGTATATGAGCACTAGTCTTGAATTCTATATGCTCATGTGGTTTGCTCTATTTGACAATTTTTAGGAAGGATGAGTAGTTAAATGGATTTGTTTGGTTGACTTTGATGCATACTTGTTAGATTTGCTTTGAATTGGTTATACTTGGTTTTAATTGGTTTTGGGGTGAAGAATGTTTTATTTGTTCATTGATGAGCTCTTTGCTTTGGGACAAGCAAAGGTTTGGCTTGGGAGAGTTTGATATGTTCATTTTATATAGTGTTTCACCCCCGTCCCTTGCTCATATTTAGGAGTATTTTTGGCTCTTTAGAGCCACTTTTATTACTAATAGACGTTTTGTAGTGTTTTCGTAGATTTGGTATTGTTTTATAGGAAATTGCAGATTTGGAGCATTTTCCTCTATTAGAAAACAGGCAAATTCCGATAGACTAGTTCCGACGGACACAAAATTCTGTCGAAAAAATTGAAATTTCCGATGGATTTATGTTCCGTCGGATATTTCCGACGAATTAAACAAATCCGTCGGAAATTTCCGATGGAAATAAATTCCGTCGGAATATATGTGTTTTCCGACGGAATTTTTCGTCGGAATATAATTAAAAAAAATTAAAACGTTTTTTTACGAACTCAATAAAATGCATACCCATCCCCTTCTATTTCCGCCTCTCTTTCTTCACTCCTCTGCTCCTTCTCTTTCTCTCTCCTCTTCTCCTTCTCTTTCCCGTTCCTCTTTCTCCAACGTTCTCCTTCTTTCTCTGTTCCTCTTTCTCCTTCGTTCTCTTTCCTCTTTTCCTTCCCTTTATGTCTTCTCTTTGTCGTCGGCGTCTAGATCTAGAGGTCTTCTTTACCGCCGGCATTCTCTTTTTCTTCTTCATTTTTTCTTTTTCCTCGAATTTTCGACAACAAAGGAATTTGTGTGGGCTGGTGGTCGTCAACAAACGAATAATTATGGTGTTTATGGTCAAATTCGACCATAAAAATTCTAGATCTGGAGTTTTTATGGTCGAATGTAATCATATAATCCCAATTTCGAGGTTTTGGAGGTGGAATTGAAGGTATGTCTTCGTTTTCTTTCTATTAATTTGGTTTGATTTTTTTAATTTTTTATTATTATTTTGGGTTAATTTCGATTTTGTGTGGTTAATGTTTGATTTCGTTGATTAATTTGAGTTTATTTTTGTTGATTTCGTAATTTTTTTGTTAAATTTTTATAGGTTGATTTCGTTGTTTTTTGCTTGGTTGTTTTTGTGGGTTTTTTGTGTGATTTTTGTGGGGTTTTTTGTGTGACTTTTTGTGTAATTTTTATGGGTTTTTGGCGTTATTTTTGTGGGTTTTCGAATTGTTGGTGGTGGTAGGTGGTTTACGGGGTGGAGGTGGGTGACTGGGCGGCAGTCATGGGTTAGTATAGGGTAGGGGGGTATGGGTGGGTAGGGGGGCAGGGGGTGGGTACCGTGGGCTGGTGGTGGGGGTGGTGAGAGACATTTTTTTTTTGTTTTTTTTAAAACATTTTCCGACGGAAATTCCGTCGGAAATTTCCGACAGATTTTTCCGGTGTCGGAATTCCTCTTCCGATGGAACAATTTCGACGGTATTTTCGTCGAAAAAGTGTTTCCGACGGAAATTTCGTCGGAAAAGGTCATTTTTCCTATAAAAGGTTTTCCTACAACCTGTTCCGACAAAATTTCCGTCGGAAACGGGTTTTCTGACGGAATTCAGGGTGATTCCGACGGAATTTTTTCGTCGGAAATGGCTTATTTTCTAGTAGTGTTCCCGGACTTATGGGAGCCACTACGAGCATTAGAGATATATGATTATTTTCTGTAGCCCAAGAGCGGTTAGAGTTATCAAATCGGTGATTAAGGGCTCGACAAAGAAGAAACCGAGGCATTGGACCAAGCTATAAAGGCCCCAAAGAGGAAATCTTGATTGGGCCAAGAAAATGGCCCAATCGAACCCCTTTCCCGAGAGCTCGCCCGACCGGGTAGTGGCCTCGCCCTAAGGTGCGCCTGGCCAGGCAAGGAAGAAAGAAGAAGAACGCTACGCCCTGGTTCGTGCCCGACTGGGCGCGAGCGAGACTCCACTCAAGCAAAAAGGCGGGCTCGGTCATGCGAATCTCTGCCCGACCGGGCGCGTGATTTTGAAGAGGATTTCGAAGATTTTTTACTTTGTTTTTAATTAGGATTTTTTTTTATCTTAAGTATAAATACGTTTTTGTTAAGTTAGATACGAGTACCTTTTCTCATTAGTTGATTTCTCAGATTTAGCTTTAGGCTTTGGATTATTACTATTGTTCTCTCTCTACACTTTTGGTTTATGCAATTCATTATTTCCCTTTACTTTGGTAACAATTTCTTCCCCTTTTATTTTCAGTAATTTAATTGCTTTGTTTAATCATGTCTTGTTTATTTGCTTTGCTTAATTTAGATTTTAATATGTGTGAGTAGATTTATTTATAGGGTTGTGGGGATCCATAAATAATATGAAGGGGTAAATTATTATTGTTGATTTTCAATGCTTTGATTGATTTCCTATTGATTGATTTAATGCTATGCAATTAGATTAGGCTTGGTTTAATTGTATGAGTTTTGCAATATTGATTCGAGATTCAAGAGATGAGAATTAATGTTTAGGCTTAGTTTCAATAGGCAGGTTAATTAATTTATAAATGGTTAAGTCAAGATTCGAGAGATGCGTTTTAATACCGGTAGATTAATTCTGTGATTGTAATACGTAGCGAAAGCCCTTTATGATCTGATTAATTGATGCATTAATGATTGATTACTATGTTATGCCCTGGAATATTATTTATTGGTGAATCTATACCCTAGGCTTTGATTGTTATTTTAATAATTCTTAATCATGTTAATTTAATTAGTTCCTTTAGTTTAATTCCCCTAAAAAATAAATTGGTTACTTAATAGTTTAGATTATATTAATTAATTGGGAATAGAAAGACTTGTTTCCCTGTAGATTCGACCCTACTTCCCTATCTGCTTTAGTTAAAGGACTTAGGTAATTCTTTTGATTAAGAGATACGACTTTTTCTTGTCAACATGTGAGAGAATTTGGTTGGAGATACGAATCCTGTAGAGCACGCAAAACAAAGTTGGATGAAGAACACATGTGGAAAAAATGCCAACAAAAAGAAGAATTCCCTATTCAAAGGTACATACAATTAAAAGAAAAAATGCCAACAGAAAGAAGAATTCCCTATTCAAAGGTACATACAATTAAAAAATATTGTACATTATATAAGGCCTAGATATAAGTAATTAGATATTGCACAATGTAAAATTAAAGACTAAATGCAATTAACTGTTGTAGGTATCGAATCGGGGTAACTATTGAGGAAGAGATGAATATATGAGGATGATTCTTTTTGATAAAAGTGTCAGAAAAAATTGTTAATTTGCCAATATTGGCAATGATACAAATAACATAATAATGCAATAGATGCACGGATTTAAGACTAGTTTATATTTAAAATACTAGTATGTGATTGTATTTGCATTGTAGTCTCTCAAAAGTCCAATTCGAATTAATTTAACACCAAGGATTTATGATGAATACTCATGTGATTTTTGGTTATACTCCCTCCGTTTTTTTTATAAGCTAGAGTTACTATATATTTTCATCCGTTTTTTTTTATTTATTTATTTATTTTTTTTAAGCTAGAGTTTCATTTTTGGAAATATCTTACAATTTAATAATATATCTTTACCCACTAATGTCCCCACTCTTTCTTACTTTATCATTTCACTTCTCCAATGGTCCTCACTTCTCTCACACCACGTTACTTTTCAATAAAATAATAACTTTATCTACCTCAATAACATCTTATTTTAATTAAACCACCTAAACTCCGTGCAATCTCATTACTAGCCTATTAAAAAAAACGGAGGGAGTATCAGTTTGGCACTTCGGTCCAATTTCGGTCACGGCATAATTGGTCTAGTACTATGTAAAGTGAAATTCTGATTCTAGATCTAGTTTAGTCTGACTTTAGATCATTGAATAGCCAACACTGCTCCTATTTGTGCGCTTTAGGAGAGATTGTTATATACACCCGGGTGCACATGGTACACCTATGGGCATTTTGTTCTCATTTTGATGATTGTTTTTCATTTAATCATCAAATGAAAAACAATAATTAACTTTGGGTTAGTTGGGTGCATGGTACACTCGGGTGTTTATAAAATATTTCGGAATCGAAATTGATAGATCAAGAACATCAACAAATAAGTACATTATATATTACATGACCTGCTTAATAATTGTATGAGTCATTAGACCAAGATGAACTATTCAAGTAATTATGCAACTTCTTATAGTTTTAACAACAATGAGGGTCTTCATACTGCTTAAGCTTCTTTGAGAACAATATTTTCTTGTTGTTGGAGACTATCATGCCTGAAAATCAAATATGCTCAAATAAGTATATATAAAAATCCAAATCGCACATATAAGGAAGAGAAGTTAGTTTAGATTTTAGAGAAGCTAAGGGAAATGCTTGGAATTACACTATTCTAATTTTTAATGTATTACATTCATCTTTATACCACCATAAGTTTTCACAAGAACTTCTAAACCCTCCTCGCCAGCTAATGATATTAGGTCATTTTATTGTTAAATATTCATTTACATTATTATATTTAGGTGTAAAGAGAGTCAATTACATAAAGCAGTTATGTAGACTTCATTTTAAAAACAATAGTGATGTAATTAAATGAGATTTAATCTCACATCTTGAATTTCACCCCTAAACTTAGCTTTAACCAAATAATAGTTAACATGCACTTCTTGAACGTTTATTTATGGGCATAAATTTCCCATTTTCATAATAAGTTCGAGGTTTTAGTATAGGATCGATCTTTTACACTAGCTTATGTAAATTCGGTTTTGACATACAGTGTATATATATACATGTTTGTGCCTAGGTTAATCATAATCACCTTCCTTACAAGTTTATTAATTATTTTTGACATGCATGAATACCTTGTTTGTTTTTCCATTGCTAAGTTGTAAAACGCTTTTGAAGATAAAGTTGATGGTATGCCATATTTTTTTTTCTCCAATAATGTTCATGCTTTATAGAATTTGGTGTTTTAGGTTGCTCATCAATTCATCATCTTGCTTCAAAAATGAGCATATAGCTAATTGGGACATTGAAAATTGTGCTCGCTCTCAAAGGAAGTACTAGCAACAATTCAAGAGGTAATAAAAAAAAGGGTTTAATTTCACACGCACTATGACCCTTGTGATTTTTTAGTATCCTTGAATTAATTACCAAATTTTCAACACATGCATGACCAAAAAACCAACACTCGTTTACACATTGTAATAATTTATCAAAAACATTTTACTATAAAGCCAAGGTTGAGAGGTATATAGTAGAAAACATATAAGAGCATGTATATTTTTTTAAAAGGCAAAAGCTAACGACCGTCTCTAGAGCGTTAGATAAGAGAATTTAAAGTGGAAATATTAAAGTAAAATAAATATTAATTACACCAATATATGCGTGATTTTGGCATGCTTTCCTAACTTAATAATATTTTTAGTAATTAATTAGTTATCTAACGCCCTGAGGCACTCGTTAGCAATATTTCTTTATAAAAAAGAAATTAAGTTAAACTTACTCATATTTGCGAATTAGTTGATATGCTCCTGTTACCACCATTGCAACACTCACAGAAAATAGTGACCAATTTTTCTACAAATTTAAAAACAACAATGTAGCTTTTCAAATATTGTACTAATTTAATTAAAAACCCTCAAAATTCAAGAGATTTATAGCTAATCATCTACTCTAATTATGCTTACCGGTGTGATTACAGTGCTGTATTTAGCCCATATAGCTCCACTTGTAACTATGGCTAATCATTTTAAGATAAGATAATAATGGAGCAAACAAAAGAACAGTTAATTATTAGTCATGTAGCCTAATTCATAGACATGATAAACCATATAATTAGTCATATATATGAGTTCAAACTAAATCATACTCACCTGCTTGTTGTGGATAGGAAATTTGATCAGCTGGCTTTGCATAATCAACAACGTTAGCTATAGTTACCCCCCATTTAAAGGCAGGTGCCCAAAAATGAACTGCAATAAAGTAATTCTTAAAATCCACAATTGTCATATACTCCGTATTATCTAGTAGCTAGTTACAAAAAAATTGTCATACATACTTTTTTTTTTTTTTTTTTTTTTCTGGGTCTAATGAGTCACTAGGGTAATATAAATTACAAATAGGGGTGACGGATTCGAAACTGCGACTTATTGTTGGTACGCAAACTCTTAATCTTAACCGTTAGACCAATATGTCACATTGAATTGGTAATATAATACATCATATACTCCTTGTGTGACATGATATGCTAGCACGAAAAATTATGGCATGGCTTAATTATGGGTGAATTAACGAAAATATTTTTTTGGGAGTAAAACATATCTAATCAAATTCATTACAATTAAATAGCATGTAACATCATTATTAAAAATTTACCCTTAATCCAAATATGAATCAATTTCCCGTTCAAAAAAAAAAAAAGAATCAATTTCACATTTATGTTATCTCAGTATTATACTATGGTATCAAACATGCAATAAAGATATACATGTAATATTGGCACTCGGATCCAACAGCCAACACACTAATAAGTCATCCCCGAGGACATCTCTGATTCAAAATCTAAAACATTTATAATCATAAATAATAAACGATAATTGATTATTACAAATAATAATTGATCAAATGAAAACATTATATTAGCAACTTTTGATAATCGGATTAAAACATGATTATATAAGATGATAATCAAGGTTAATTAAAAGGCTTACTTGTTTTTGGACCAGCAGGGTGGTTCAAGAAAGCTTGAAACTTGGTTGCTGCCATGGAATTTCTCTTTCTTACCAGTTCTTAATTCTCCTTTCTTTGTATAATTATGTGATGCTTTATTATTTAATTATTTTACAATAGTAGACTTCTAATTTGATCACGTAAGATTATTATATGTACTTGTAGTTAACATTTTTTAATACCTAGCTAATATACTAGTAATTTCTTTTTTGGGATGATTCCTGGAAACTTTCATGCACAATCATACCTTCCTTGGAAGAGTACTTGATCAGTACGACTTTTTTTTTTATTTTTTTATTTTTTAACAACGGCCCTATGGTGGACCGAATCCTTTCACGGGTAAATAAGTTCGACTAGCTACATGGTCAGGTTATTGGGCATGGAGGGAGAAAATTGGTAAAGATAATCAGGTTCAAAAACTTCAATTGGTAGGATCAAATTAAATTCATGACGACAAGGTTACCAATTACACTAAGGGGGCGTTTGGTTGGGGTTAATAATCAAAGGGAAAGGGAATCAGCAGGCCTCATTTCCTTTGTTGGTGTTTGTTTGTCACTTTTAATCATTCCCTTTACCTATTTTTATTTTTGAGTTTACCCAAAATCAGTCTACATTGATTCCCCACCCCTAACCTTTTCCGTTCCCTTTCCTTAGCCACCATTACACCACCATGTCTACACCAGCAATCACCATTCTACCCTACCCCCACTTCCCAGCCACCTCGCCGCCCTTCCCCCGGCCATTGCCGTCCCTTCTCTGCCACTCGTCGACCTCCGGTAAGATCGCATCTCCCTCGAAAATCTTCCCCAACCCCTCGTCGAAACTTGTGCCCTTATTCGCATCTCCCCCACCCCTTGCCAGAGGTTGTCGCACCTCCCCCATCCCTCGAAAACCTTCCTTGACCTCTCGTCGACCAATGTTGCCCCTGTTTCGATTGAGCGAAGTTCGAATTGAAGAAAAACGAGAATTTGTTGGATTTCTTAATTGGGGTTTTCCGGGGTTTGAAGGGTATTGATGATGGATAGGGTTTATGAGCTTGGAATTGACGGTAATGGCTGGTTTAGAGGAGAAGGAAAGGAGAAAGGAATTAGGGGAAGATTTTGTGCGACGGGCTCCGGGGGATTCCGACGAGGTGGTGGCTGGGCGGTAAGGTGGCTAGAGAAGTGGGAAAGTGAAGGAAAAAGGGGTTGTGTGGTGGTGTTGGTGGTGGTGGTGATTCCCTTTGATTTTTTAAAACAAACAACACACTACATGGAATGATTTTTCATTCCATTCTCTTTCATTCCCTTTGTTCATTCCATTCCGTTTACCTTGTGCGAACCAAACGATCCCTAAGTACTACTTGCATGGTACGTAATGGTCTGACTAGTAAGCATGTAACTATGAATTATCAAAAAAAAATTATATTCTATAAAAAATCTTCTTCTTATGTAGGAATAATGAAAATATATTGATAAAATCATACTAATATTATACTTCAGATATCTTTGATTCTTTGTCCAAGTAGTAACATATTTTATTGAAATCTTTGTTTATGATATAGAATAAGAAAAACTAATCAAGTTGATGAAAATAAATACTTCCTCCGTTTCTTTATAGTTGCAAAACATATTTTATCACGGTATTTAAGAGAAATAGACCTCACATGATATAATACACTTAAAATAGGGTTAAAAGGTTGTTAGGAACATAATCAAGTGGGCCATGTGCTTTAAATAAAGATAATAGTACAATTTTCACCATAAAAACCTTTTAGAGGCCTTGTTCTAATATTAAAAAGTGAGTCCCTAATAATAAAAAATGTTTTTTAATATTTATAATTTATTGAAAAAAAATGTCAAAACCGTATTAAAATTACTACGTATAATCGTATATTCGTATCTATTCAATAAAAATCTTATATTACTAGTATATGAAACAAAAAAAAAAAAAAAAAAAAAAAAAAAAAAAAAATCAAACTTTATTCAAATTATGACTAAAGTCCCAATGCTGGATACAAAGCATAAGTAAATCTTATTATACTCCATATTTTTTAATAATAATAATTAAAAAAAAAAAAAAAGAATAACAGCAATGTCGCAGTACATGACTTCAAAGTTTCATCTCCTTTTTTCCTCAAAAAAAGTAAAAAAAATAAAAAAATAAAAAAAGGTTTCATCTCCTTCACCTCCCAAAAGCAACCAAAAATCAAAAATACCCGTATGTAAGAGGAGGTTGGAGCGTATATTAAAAATGGAGAATAGTGGAAATCGTTTGCGATGCCTGCGCACCACGCACTCGGCCAGCAGGCCTCAGCATGCCCACTCACGTGGCTTGCTGGGCTTGCGGTCAGTGCTAGGCTTGCGGCAGCATCAAGCTGGCCCTAGCCCTCGCACAGCTAGGCCGATGCGAGGCTAGGACTATACACTTTGACTTGTTGTTTGACTTATTTGCATGTCTCGTCGTTTCCTAGAATCGTGATGCGGAATATAAGGTAGGGCTAGGTGTTTCGGGTTATGGGTGAAGTGTTTAGGCTAGGTGTTTAAGTGGTTTAGTGTTTAGGCTAGGTGTTTACGTGGGAACAGGGTAAGGAACAAGAACTAGTTCCTGAGAGTGAGGAACTCAAGGTTTGACTAGCAAGGAACACTCACAATACTAATCAAGGATAGGTATGGTTAGAGTTGAACACTCACTCTACTAACCATAAGACAAGCTAACTCCGAACACTCCGAGTTAATCCCACAAACTCGAGTTCAAGTAACTTGAATCCACAAGTTAAAATTAGAAATAACACAGGGTATATTTCAAAATAGATATTTCATTCAAGGTAAGATAAGATGATTACAAAGCTAGACTAGACTTCCTTTTATAGACTAAGGAAGTAGTTACATAACTTACATTGATTAACTGACTTAGCTAATTTAATAAAAGGAACTTAAAAGTCGCCAACAAAAGGGAACTCAACAGTCGCCACAATGAGCAGTCCCTTAATGTAACAGTTCCATGCAAACCGTCATACATTGAAGACTAATAATTGCTGTTGTTCCTTAACGAGTTCCTTAATCAGTTCCTTGGGGAACTCGTTGTAGATGCGCCCAGCTTTCTCCCTTGTAACGCCTGACAGTTACAACTTTTATTACAGCAACTTAAACTAAGCTAATTACTACTATAAACTAAAAATAAAACATGCAAATAAGTAGTAATAAAAGGCAATTAAACTAAGGAGGTTATACTCCATGAATGGCGCCCAAACAAGTGAATAAAAACACACTTGAATGCTTACTTAAAGTGTGTAACCCCCTCTTTATTTCCCTTGTCTTGGCTGCCTTCAAATCAGAAAGGAACAAGGAATATTTTTCCCCCAATGCTCATGAAAATATCTAAGGCAAATTAATTCCATGCTTACTCATCCATCCAAGTCACGCATGACTTGTACAAAGATGAGGATATGTTAAAACCCATGCGTGAACCATGGTCAAGTTTGGGCCCTTGAATGAACAGCTCATGGACAATAGGAACTTGATTCTTTTGGACCCTTGAACGTGTGTTTGGACCACCTGGACCACTTGACTCATTGGCTTGCACGAACTCTTGATCAAGGACCAATTTCGGATCAAATTGACTTGACGTTTCGACGTTCGGCTTCAATGCTCTAAGTTTGGAATCCAACGCCGGAGTACATATCCTCTTGTTTAACGTATTAAGACCTTTGGCTTAATTCATCGCCTTAGTTTGGTTGCATGCTTGGGTGTGACCCGATGGGTTCAGTTAAAGGAAACCTGTGAGATTAATATAATTAATTTCACTGATCGGAGATGGCCTCTAGCCCGACTTTCCGATCACTTGACTTTACTGAATAATTAACTCCGTAATTGATTATGAAATCATGGAGGCAATAGAAGGATATTTATCTACCTTATTCTAATTAAAAAATCTTTTTTCATGAAATATTTATCTACCTTATTCTATTAAAAAATATTTCAAAATAAAATTCTAATTAAAAAAATATCAGTGTGTTTAAAAATTGATGAAATCATGTAGGCAATAGAAGGATATGGCTTCCCTAAAAATAAAAAAAAATAAAAAAATAGGTAGCTTTTAATTTTCTTTAATAAAGGATGGTATTTTTTTTTTTTATTGATGGTAGTTATTATTTTAAAAAATGAAGGTATTTTTTTTAAAAAAAAAATAAAATAAAAATTGAGAGGGGTATTTTGGGAAAGAAAAATTTATCACCATATAGACACCTGATAATGTCTCCCCGAAAACCAAACCCAGTGATAAGTACCTTTCACGTCTTTGATATCGAGTTCGGTGAAGAGTTGAAGAGTCTCGTGAATTCTTTTTAGCCTTGACCATTTATAACCTCAACTAAAGTGTTTTTAAACCAAAATCATTCATTTCGTGTCCCCTAAAATCATCTATTTCGTGTTCAAACCTTAAAAACATCCAAACCAGTTTATTTTGGTCTATAATCTTGGTCCAATTATTGTATAGTTGGATGGGGTTTGAAAAGAGCTTTTCAACGATATATTATAAGCCCAAATCCAACTTATAACGAAGAAGTTATGGCTAAAATACTAAACTGAGTCCAAAACGAGTCTTACCTGCGACCCAAAGATCATGTGGAGGGTCCATTAACCTTAATATCATTCCTAAACCAATATAAGCTTCTAGAATCCTCAAGAAGGTTGTTTTCGATCCTAAATCCCTTAGGATTTATTATTAGCTTCTAGAATCCTCTCGGAGGTTCTAATTTATCCTATTTTCGAAAAGATAAAGATTTAAGAATTTTACTTTGGGTAAAACATCTGTTTTTTAATGATCCTAATCCTGGTCAAATTAGAATACGTATGGAAATTTGATTAATCCAATGCAATTGGAAATCGGATTCCGTACGAATTTAGTCTTTTTAAAAAAACCATCGCCGAGCGACAGCACCATCGCACCGCGATAGGGCTGTCGAGCCATGATAAGCCTGTCGCGTCACGATAGAACCTGTTTTACTTTGATTTGAATTCTGACCCTTCGACCCTCTTTTTTCCCTATAAATAGAGGTCGTTTCACCCCGTTTTGATGAACCAAAATTCATCATCTAATTTTCTCTCTAAGCTAAAAGCTTTTCTCTCTCTCTTCTTTCTCGATTTCT